TCTGTGTGTCTCTCTGTGTGTCTGTCTGTTTGTGTGTGTTTCTGTGTGTTTCTGTGTGTTTCTGTGTGTTTGTGTGTGTGTTTGTGTGTGTTTGCGTGTGTGTGTGTGTGTGTGTTTCGAACTGGTAGCCCCCTCATTTGAATTGAAACTACGTTTTTGTTTGCATGTTGCCGGCTAATCTGCTTAATCATAAACATGGAAGGCACCTGACCAGCAGAGACGGTGGTCTGCCGGCATTGAACCCTTGAAGCCCATGCTCTCTGAAAACTGAAGCCCACCACGAAATGACGCAGCTTTCGCCCCAGTTCGGTTCTCTTTCCAGGTGACCACTCCCAGGCGCCGATGCGGCTAAGGCGGCCCAGTTACGTGCCGCCTTCCCAGGCAGGAATTCGATTGTCGTCATCATCAAAAACGAAGACTATGTTTTTAGGTCGGTCGGTAGGTAGGTAATCAGGTGAAAGTAAGGCTAGTGTGGAGTAGGTGCAGGTGTAGGCGAAGTGCGATTTGCGGTGTACGGGGAACAGTCGTACTTACTCTGTGTTTGAACGCGTGCGTTTCACACATGCCAGCTGACTTGCATGACGCCTGCCTGTTCTGACTGGACTTCGTTGTACTTCTTTGCAGCCGCGAGAAGCGTGTCAAACCCAAAAACCCCCTTCGGCGTTGAAATCAGATTTCACCTCGACAAATCGAGACGAGGCGTTTAAATCCGCCTTGATGCAAGGCGTGGCTGAGGGAATTCCTTGAAGCTGCCCAGCTGGATCTTGGGAAGTGACTCGGCACCCACAGCATTGCGCATGCAGGGAACAGGACCCACAGCATGCATGTTTTCTCACAGAAATTGTCTTTGGCAGCAGGGTTTGCAGCTTCGAATGTCAAGTGCCGATGTTGTCATTGCGCACCCGAGATTGTAGTAGACAAGGTGTTTTAAGACACGGCTTCAGGTTCAGGCAGTTGTGTTGAGCATACAAGACTTGAGGCAGTTGTGTTGAGCATGGCTATCGTCAAAAAGTCAGAACTTGGTGGCCGCGGTGATGCTTGCTGCCAGTACCATTTTCTCTTCATTGCTGTGAATATCAAGAGCGTTGCAAATGCGATGGTGAAGATGATAGCGACGACGATGCTTCTTATTATTATGACGATGAATCGTTCCATGATTCGGACGTTAGTGGTTCTGGCTGCATTCAGCGATGCCGGCGCTCAGGATCGGTCCCAGGTTGCAGGGCTCGGAAAGCCTCAAGGGTTGGTAGGGCCGCGGCAGCGCCGAAGCCTCGCAAGCCCACGCGCTCAGATCGCGTGTCCCAGGTATTTGGAGAAGTCCCTTCTGTGGGCCGAGGTGTCCGACATGGTGTTTTGCATGATTCTGAAAGCACCATGTACCAAGACGACAATAGGCAGCAACTGTCATAAGAAGAACAACAACAACCACAAGACGATTCCCATCTTCAGGAGAACGACATCGTCCATGGTGACCTGCTTGGTGGTGATGCAAGCGCAGCGAACGAGGCGGAGGCACGTGATTTCCTGTTATCGGAGGCAAAAGCTCACGCTTGGTATTTTCCTGCTTATGTTCAAGGTCCGCGCAGTCCGTGGAGCAAAGGAGTAAGGAAGTGTTTTCCAGCACATGTACTCTTTCGATCTCGGCGTTGCTCTCCTTCAGCGAAGTTCTTGCCCGATGTCCATTGATATCTCTCATGGTTTCTAGTCCATGCCGGTGCTTGTCCTTTCATGTCCTCCTTGTTGTGTGTTGCCGGTGTTCGGAGTAGTCCGGGCCGTAATGGCTCTGGCTGTTCTAGAGTCGCGTTCTTGCCCGTACCGTGTGTGGGAAACAGAGGTCTGGTACCATCGACACTCAGTGTGGCCAACAGTATAAGAGTGGCGTCCAATCAAAAAGCTTTGGAAGACGGCTGCCAAAGCAACGGTGCGGTTTCCGGTCCTAGGGCCATAAAAAGTATACCTCGCAAGTCAGTGCATGTTTTGAAGAGCAACCGGTTTGCAAGGCCCTTAGCCACCTGGAGATGCTCATCGCAGACTTGTGCCTCTCTGCAGCTCCTGCAGCACGGCTCCGCAAGACGCAAGCAATGCTGCGTGGAGCAAGGAGTTCAGGGCCGGTTGAGTTGACCTAGGATCGAGTTGAATGGAGCAGGGCGCGCGATTGCCAAAGGAGCTTCTGCGGAAAGCTCGTTCTGCGTTGCTGAATTCGCGCACGTACCCTACATCACACGGCACAAAGCATGCTGAAGTTCAGGGCGTTCTTCGGTCAGCGGGTGTTAGATCGCGGGGTCGGCTCCCACGAGGGGGGGGAGGGGGGCAGAATCTGCAGTGCACAGCTTTGTACGATTGCTGTGCTGTCCAAGACACGCAGCCTCGACAGCGAGCTGAGACCCCACCCTTGGCCTTTCAAACACGACATCCAGCAGCAACCTAAACCTGTCAAATCCATCTCACTGACGTCCGTCATGTCTTGGACCATCACCCCAGGGGTCCACTAAAATCTGTTGTTCATGAGCTGACACAGTTCCTGATCATGGCCTAATCTTGGCAGCAATGCGGTGTAGAGATCTTCGCCCACAATGTAACTCCTACGCCCGCAAAGTCTCCCATGTTCAGTTCTAGCACACTCCAAAAAGTGATCAGCTAACCACCTAGGCCCGAAATCGACAGACACAAAATGCTACGCCTTCGTTCCATAACGCAAGGGCCGAAGCCGTCCCCTGCCCGCATGCTCCGCTTGCTTACCGGACACCGAATCGGGAGTCCTCTAGCGTGCAAGGAGCTGCCGAAGGCATCTTCTGCATGGAGCGCACAGAAAAATTGGACATTACGCAAAGCATGGCTTTGACGTTAAGCTTTAGGGCTTGCGACTTGATGGTCGACGCCCAGCCGCTTACAGACGCCAGCTCCCCGATACAATCCTCAAGTACGCTGTCGAAGGAATCTTGAATCCATTCAACCTATATGTCAGATTCATGTATAGGCTCCAAACCTTACGGACCTAAAGTTGGACACGGCCCCAGGTCACTGAGCGGATGCACATATATATGTAATATGTATGTGTTGATTGTAGGTACAGTTACAATACGTACATACATGCATACATAAATAACATACACAAATACAGCCTCAACATGTGTCATTGCGACTGTCAAGCAATGCAAACTGTGTCTACCTGGCCCTGCATGTCTCGTCAAAGACCGCCGAGCAGCAGTCACATCCAGATTCCTTGTGCAGGCATGTCACCTGCGCGCCTTATCGTGGGCAGTCTCCCAAAAATCCGCCGGCCACGGGTCGGATGCTTCTCGATTTTTCTGGCAATTGTCCTGGCATATGGTCGGATGCTTTGTCACAGTTTCGTTGGGAAAGCATCTGAATCGAGCGAGACGTCTGGCAACGTGTGCAAGGATTTCAAGAAAGGCTTGTCGGGTCAGGTTATTTGCGATGGTCTGGCAAAGTATCCTTTTGAATGGGGCAACGCAGATTGCAACGGCATTCTTCCCTTGCTGGTGGTTCAGCCAAGTACCGAGGAGGATATAGCCTTGACCGTGCGTCGCAGCACTACTTTTGGACTTCCTCTCAGTGTTAGAAGTGGTGGACACAGTTACACTTGTGATGGAATCAAGCCCGGTTCTGTTCATCTGGATTTAAGATCCAGAGTGCGGAAGCAGCTCTACCACGAGAGCTCTGGGTGGTATGCTGAGTTCGAGACTGGCAACACGTTTCGCGATTTGTTTCGGATTGTTGATCGACACCGTTTCTCCATTGTGCATGGCGCGTGCCATGCTGTGGGCGTGGGTGGCTTTTACCTGCATGGTGGTCTACATATGAATTCATTGACAGCCCTTTACGGCTGGGGGAACGAGACTATTGTGAGCATGAGGGTGGCACCTCGCCGAGCTTGATCCGGAAAGGTCTTCTGTCACTTTTCTTCAGGGATCCTTGCAGGTATCGAAAGGCACTTAAGGCTTGCGCTTGCATCATTGGATCTCAATGGGGTTGGATGGAGTCCAGCTTCCTCACATAAATGTGACCGAATCCGCTGCTGAACCGTACTGCTACTTGTTGCAAGTAGCACCTGATAAGGCCTGATACACACGCGCAAGCAGCGCAAGCCAAGGCAGTCCGACACTCCGGCTTGGCACGTAGGTTGCAGAGTCCCCCACTCCCCAATGGCCCAAGCACGAAGCTGCAAACTTCTCCAAAGCCAAAGCTTCCTTAAGCTCTCACCGGGCCTTGGGTTCTGGGGTTTATAGGGCATTTGAGCGTTCAAGTTTCCAGCTCTCGGTGAAAGGTTTAAGCGGCCACAGCACTTCAGGTTTATTGTGCCTTTATCTTTGTTGAGGCTGCTAAGCCTGAATCCAAGCTTATGCCCTTCTAACTTTCTCTATAGATACAACTATACCCTGTCAAACTCAATCCTAAGGTTACTGCCGATGGCCAGATTCGGGCCCTGAGCGCGTCGTCTGCGCACCAGGAGCGGAAGTCAAAGCAAGCGGTTCCTTCTGGAAAACCCGAAGGCCAATTAAAGACTGGACCATGCTGTCCAGTTTAGGGGTATGGGGTCTTCACATCGGGTGCCGGATGGAGGCTTGGATATCATGTTTGATTTCGTTGAGGCTGGCATCTCCACAATCGGAGTCTTCGGGTTTTTGGTTGCGGAGTTTTTCACGTGCCAAAAAAAGCCTTGTGCGGGATCGTAAGTGTGTTGCCTGTTCCGTAAACCCCCAAAAAGCCCCAGCAACTCGACAGCTTGCGAAGGGCCTTCTGCTTTCGGAAGACCCCTATTCATGAACCAGAAAACTTAGACAGCTCAGGCAGCTCCATCGGCTCGCTGTTCATGCAAGCTTAGGTTTGGGGTTTGGGACTTCCAGTTTGGGTTTCCGGAATCAGGGCTCGAAGGCTTGCGTGTTTTGCTCGCAGGGCTCCTCTACGACTGCAGAACACTGGCAGGATCTCTGGCGAGCGATGCGGCAAGCAGGGTCCAACTTCGCGATTGCCACTTCCTTGACTGTCAAGGCACTTCGTCTAAGTTTGCGAAGATGGCCCTGTGATTTTGCTCCTCGGGTTGTTATGCAGCTGCGGATGGCAGGATTTTCCGAGCCGACAACCCAAACGAGTGTGCGAGCAACGGCGTCGATTTACTTCAGATTCAGGGGCTTGTTGGTTTCTCAGTTTTCAACACACGGGGTTTCCCGGACTCTCTTCGCCCGGAGCCCTGAACCCACAGTCGCTAAACCTTACGAACCTTGCGTCCTAACATCTTCTAGCCCCAAACCCTCGAACCCTCCAAGCCAAGCATAGAAGATTTGCAACAGAAGCACATCAACCGATCCACCCCCCCTCCCGAATAGCTGCTCGAACAACTTGGTATAAACAATCGGTTGAAACCTGCAAGAAGCCGGTAAGCCTCGTGAAAGAGAGAATGTCCTCTGTCTTCGTTTGCTCACAGAGGTCTTCGAATCGCCGGAGCCGTTCACCTGGCTCTTCTGGGAATCTCGGCTCTGAAGCTTTGGGGGTATATAAGGGCTAACTAAGGGAAAGGCAGTTGTATCTCGACTTTCAAGCTCATGGATCTTAGGTTTTGTTGTGGTGCAAGGGTTCAAGGATGCCGTTTTGGCTGTGGATTCCCGTCGTGGTCTTCCCGAATCGCCGAACACGTGAAGAGGATCCGCTCTGTAGCAACCCCCGAGGTTGTTGAATACGAGGTAAAGCCCCTACTTGCTACATTGATTCTGTGTAATCACGTGGAACCAAGTAGGAATCGTCATCCAGATCCGCGCCTGCGCGCAGGTTCAATTTCTTTGGAATCTAACCATACGCTGTTGATTGTGCATGGGGGCTTAAGAAGCTTGTATGTCCCGTCCGACTTGAGGTGAAGCTGTCGCACGATGAGGTCGTGAGCCTGTTTCGGAGAGCCATGACGGATGAGCAGGTTCAGTTGAACATCTACTACGTCAACCCACCTTTTTTCCAGGTCAGCCTCAGCCGACCCGAAATCTTCACCGTACAGTTTACCTTGCTGCATGGTCCGGCCAACTACTGGCAGAACCTGCAAGCCAGCTTGGATTGGTTCAAGTCCCATCAGGTGGGGCGTTTTGTAACGACGGCACCAACATAAGGACCCCGGCAGGAGCCTTAAATTAGAACAACCTCAGGTGGCTCTTTCGTGGTGGACGATTGCCTTCAATGCTGTAATGCCCAAGCCAGATGACTTGACGCATTTGGGATATCCCAAGGCTTGGGTCTCGTCTCAGGCCATCTGGCCGGCGAATTCTGCTTGCACAGACGAAGCCTTGCATCTGCTCTTGGACTTGCAGTCGACAGTGGTAAAGCGTGCTCACTTCCACACTTTTCGCAAGGTAGAGTGCTGGCTGACTTTCACCGAGCTGCCTCGTGGCCAGATCTACTACGAGTACAACTGCCCAAGCCGACCTACGTATGTTGAACACATCCGCACCGTCGAGCAGAGCTTCGTTGCTGCCTGTCCAACTTCTGTTAAATACCGCAACACACCCCACTGGAATGCCAGTGCCAGCCGCTACTATCCTGATTCTCGGGAGCTCTTGCAGACAAAGAGAAAGTGGGATCCACTGAATCTGCTTGGGCCCCCCATCATGTCTGTGCATGACCTTGCATAGGGCCCAGACATCAGTGCAGCCGAGCGTTTGAGAAAGGCCAGAGGCCGGCTTGGAAGAAATGTGTGCGCATACATAAATGTACTTGCTTGTTTACCACTCGCTTTGTTGGCGTTTGGAGATCAGCACGAAACGCCACGAAGCCACCTCTGAAGTGAACAGGTACAGAACAGGTGCCAGTGCCAGTCGAGCACTGCCGAAAAAATTCGTTTGACACCTGGACCTATTTTCTCACAAGTAGAGTTGCATCTTCTTGTCAGACCTCTTCAAGCAGCGCCAGACCCAAGCCCAACTTCCCGCCAGAATCGTTGCAACCCGACAACCCGAAGCGCCGCGCAGCGCTGCTCAGCTCTTGCACTGCCGAAGCCCAAAGTGAAATGTTTGTGGCAGCTGCAGCCACAACACTCGTTTAGGGCCGTGTAGGCAGGGCTTGGAGTCAGGTTAGTGTTACTGCAGCTTCCGATAATGGTGGTACAATATAGACTGGTACCTGGTACAGGAAAGTACAGTGCAGTGCAAAAATTTGACGATGATAACATGAAATATGCTTTATTTCAGGCCGCTGAGACTGAGCCTGCCACCCATGTAAGGGCCCTGTCTGCACAATGTCAGGGAACATACTGCTAATTGAGATGCGGCTAGCTTTCGAGACTCAGCAATGGGCGGCGGGCTGGATCCAGAAGCAGTCGTGTCTGCTGTTCGACATGCTCAGAATCATTTCCAAGCACTCCTCCTGCCCGTTGAATCTACGCCGCCGCGGGCCGTGAGACGTCAGTACTTGCGAGTTGCTCTGGCAGTGCATCCGGACAAGTGCGCCTTGGCCGACGCAGTGGAAGCATTTAAGCGTGCCTCTGAAGCCTTTGTCAATCTACATGATGCAAGACGTCAAGAAGAGCATTTGCAAAAAGCTCAGCGGCAGTCGCCATCATGTTCGACAGAGCCTGCTTCAAAACAGGAAGCAGGAGTCGTGGTGGGAGCTTCGAAGTTTGGATCAGGAATTTGGGGCGCAGGTTTCGGCATCAACCTGGGAGTCTGGAATGTGGTTGGCACGGGCCGCTGCACGCCCAAGGATATCACGGACGCTGTTGGCACAGCAGTGCAGCTGCACCACGTTCGTGTCGTCATCAGCTTGGCCCGGGGCGGATCTCTCCGCTCCTTCGTGCCCCTGACATGCTGGACGAAGGATGGGGGTCTTGACGGTGTGGGTACCCCAACACTCCTGGAGCTGCCTCTAGAAGTGTACAACGACTCCAGCCTGCTGGAAGATGTCCTGCGCACGTCTGCCAAGAAGGCTCCCTTGATTCAATTCTGGCGGGGATCTGAGATGCTGGAGCTCGCATTTGGTCCGCAGGAAAGGAATAACAAGCTCCTGCAAACCCTTTTGGCTCACACAACTTGTGCTGTAGGTGCCGTCGGCGCTCCAAATGGATTGCGTGTTCTCCGTGAGTTCCTCGAAGGTAAACTCTCCGCAGGCGCAGCGCCCGCCTTTGGATGGTTGCACGTTTGGGCCGGAGCACGGTGCATCGGTGACTCCTCAGAGGAGCTGTGTTTTGGACAGGGACAGCAGGGCCATCAGGGCTACGGCACATCGTCACACAGCAAGCTGCCAGGAGCAGCTAGCAGCGCTAGCAGCGCTGGCAGCACCAGCATGTCTCCGAAAACTGTAGGTATGGCGTCCGATGCGTTGGTTCCCTGCTTGGTTCCCGCATGCGTTTCAGCGGACTGGCACTCGTGGGTGGCACTGCAGGCAGTGCAAGAGGTGTGCAGGCGATTTCCAGCATGCACTGCATTGGTGGAATTTCGGCACAGGGATGGTGGTGGGGCCGATTGTGGGAACAGTAGAATTTTCCATTCCTTGACATTGCCTTCAAAAGCTGGCCGTGTGACACAGCACAAGCAGTTTTTGCGCGGCTTGACTGTTTCAATGGCCATACATGTTACCAGCGAAGAAGGTACGGCCCTGGATTGCGGCGTGAGTGCGGAGGATTTTGCTGACTCCGTGCCTGCGGCATGTAGGTTCTGGGAGCTGTGGCGATGGGGCAGCGGTGCATGGTGGTCCTTGCGCGTCTCTGAAGCCTCACTGGAGGATGCTGTCAGCCACACGGTTGGAAAGACTTTTGAGGAGTTCTGTGCGATTGTACGTTCTCGGGGTGGTCGCTGCACCCCCGATGCAAGTCTTGTCCTGACATAGACGGCACGTCAGAAACGACTCTTCTCCGGCACCGGCATGGCGTACGTTTTGGTAGCAGACCTTGTGACCATCCGAGAAGCTCGGGTTAGGATCTAGAGTTGAGGATTCATGATTCCGGATTTGAAATTTGAGACCTGAGACTGGTTTGAGAACAGGACTTAGGAACTCGGGTGTGTAACAACAAAGTGGGTCTTTACAGAAAAGACAAGCCGTGTTGTTTGCCCGACGAGCAGGCGCGTGTTTTGAGAGTAGAATGCGGTAGCCTTTACAGTCCGCCTATACTAACTTGATAAATGTCGATTTGGGAGAGACTACTGATATTGTCATTTCTTATTTATTCTGCCCAAGCTCCCCAGAAAAGCAAAGATAAGCCTTATGCAGACAAATAGAATCGAAAGAAAGAAATTTAACAAAAAATTATGATAGAAATTTCGACGTCGAGAAGAGAGATAGACTAAAGCATATAGAAAATGATGTCCGTACGAAATCGCATTCCTTTATATTTGAATCTTCTGACTTTTATATGAGATATATATATATATAGATATATATATTTATATATATATATATCGACTATATTATATAAGACATAGAAGCTATGGGCTCGTAATAAATCGTATTCTCTGTCTTATCTATGTATAGTAGTAAATATCCGTAATAAATTATTTCTCTGTGCCGTTTAGATGCAGAATCCAATATCGGGTATTCTTTATCTCGTGTGCAATATCTAAATATCTTGAAATGATATAGTATTATTATAGAACCTAATGCCCGTAGCAAATTATATTTCCGGTCTCGTATATAATATTAGCTGATATAGAATTTAATGTCGGCAATAAATCGTAATTTTTGCCTCGTATATATTATCTCCCGATGTAGTATCCAATACCCGTAATAAATCGTATTCTTATCTCTTCTCTGTCTCGTGAAAAATGCCACAAGATACAGACCCCAATGATCGGAATAATTCGTAAATCTTATCTCGACTAGTATATTAGAAGACGTAGAATCCAATGCCCATAATAAGTCGTACCCGCTATCTCATTTGAGATATTATAAGACGTAGAATCTAATGACCGTAATAAAGCGTACCTCTAATGCCCGTAACAAAAATCGTACCTCCTGTCTCGTATATAATGTCATAAGACACAGAAATTAATGCCCGTGATAAATCGTATCGCCTGTCTTGTGTAAGGTATCACAAGACGCAGAACCCAATGCCTAAAATAAATCGTACCCCTTATCTCGTGTGCGATATCATAAGACGCAGCATCGAATGCCCGTAACAATTCGTTCCTTTGTCTCGTATGTGGTATCACAAGACACAGATACTCAATGACCGTAGCAATTCGTACCCCCTGTCTCGTGTGTGATATCATAAGATGCATAACCCAATGCCCGTAACAAATCGTACTCCCTCTCTCGTGTTTGACATTACAAGACGCAGAACATAATGCCCGTAACAAAGCGTACCTGCTATCTCGTGAAAGATATCATAAGACGCAGAATCCAATGCCCGTGATAAGTCGTAGCCCCTGTCTCGCGTGTATTATCATAAGACGCAGATCCCAACGCCCGTATCAAATCGTAACCTCGGCCTCGCAAATGCCCGTAACAAAGCGTACCTGTTGTCTCGTGAAAGATATCATAAGACGCAGAATCCAATGCCCGTGATAAGTCGTAGCCCCTGTCTCGCGTGTATTATCATAAGACGCAGATCCCAACGCCCGTATCAAATCGTAACCTCGGTCTCGTCTGGAATATCACAAGACGCAGAACCCAATGCCCGTAATAAAGCGTACTCCCTGTCTCGTGGGTGATATCAGAAGCCGCAGAACCCAATATCCGTAACAAATCGTACTCCCTATCTCTTGTAAGATATCACAAGACGCAGAACCCAATGCCCGTAATAACTCGTGACCCCTGTCTGGTGTGTGATATCACAAGACGCAGAATCCAATGCCAGTAACAAATCTTACCCTCGAGTGTGATGTCACAAGACACAGAACCCAATGCCCGTAACAAATCGTACCTCCTGTCCCGTGTGTGATATCTTCAGACGCAGAACCCAATGCCCGTAGCATATCGTACTACCTGTCTCGTGTGTGGTATCACAAGACCCAGAATCCAATGTCCGTAACACATCGTACCCCCTGTCTCGTATGTGATGTCCCAAGACACAGAACCCAATGCCCGGAACAAATCGTACCCCCTGTCTCGTGTCTGATATCATGATATCGCACGACGCAGCACCCAATATCCGTAACAAGTCGTAGCGCCTGTCTCGTGTGTGCTATCACGAGACGCAGAACCCAATGCCCGTAACAAATCGTAACTCCCTGTCGCGTGTAAGATATCAGAAGACGCAGATCACAATGCCCGTAACATATCGTACCCCCTGTCTCGTGTGTGTTATCACAAGCCGTAGAACCCAATGCCGGCAGCAAATCGTATCCCTTGTCTCGCGTGTGTTATCACAAGATGCAGAACCCAATGCCCGTAACAACTCGTATCCCCTGTCTCGTGTGTGATATCACATGACGCAGAACCCAATGCCCGTAAGAAATCGTACCCTCTTACACTTATGTGATATCACAAGACGCAGAACACAATGCCCGTAACAAATTGTACCCCCTGTCTCGTGTGCGATATCATATGACGCAGAACCCAATGCCCGTAACAACTCGTACCCCCTGTCTCGTGTGTAATATCACAAGACTCAGAACCCAATGCCCGTTTCAAATCGTATCCCCGGTCTCGTGTGGAATATCACAAGACACACAACCCAATGCCCGTAACAAATCGTACCCTCTGTCTCTTGTGTGATATCTTAAGATGCAGAACCCAATGCCCGTAACAACTCGTATCCCCTGTCTCGTGTGTGATGTCACAAGACGCAGAACCCAATGACCGTAACAAATCGTACCCCCTGTCTCGTTCTTCTGCCCGTAACAAATCGTACCCTGTGTCTCGTGTGTAATATCACAAGATGCAGAACCCAATGCCCGTAACAAACCGTACCCCCTGTCTCGCCCGTGATATCACAAGCCGCAGAACCCAATGCCCGTAACAAATCGTACCTCCTGTCTCGTGTGTGATATCACAAGACGCAGAACACAATGCCCGTAAGATTTCGCACCCTCTTACACTTATGTGATATCACAAGACTCAGAACACAATGCCCGTAACAAATCTTACCCCCTGTCTCGTGTGTGATATCAGAAGACGCAGAACCCAATGCCCGTAACAAATCGTCCCGCCTGCCTCTCGTGTGATATCACGAGACGCAGGACAAAATGCCCGTAACAAATCGTACTCCCCCTTTCTCATATATGATATCACAAGACGCAGAATCCAATGCCCGTAACAACTCGTACCCCCTGTCTCGTGTGTCATATCACAAGAGGCAGAACCCAATGCCCGTAGCAAATCGTAACCCCGGTTTCGTGTCTAATATCACAAGCCGCAGAACCCAATGCCCGTAAAAACCGTACCCCCTCTCTACAATTCGCAGAACCCAATGCCCGTAACAAGTCGTACCCCGTTTCTCCTGTGTGATATAACAAGACGCAGAACCCAATGCCTGTAATAAATCGTACCCCCTATCTCGTGTGTGATATCACAAGACGCAGAATCCAATACTCGTAACAAATCGTACCCCTGTCCCGCCCCTGTCTCGTGTGTGATATCACAAGACGCCGAACCCAATGCCCCTAACAAATCGTACCCCCTGTCTCGTGTGCGATATCACATGACGCAGGACCCAATGCCCATAACAACTCGTACCCCCTGTCTCGTGTGTAATATTATAAGACTCAGAACCCAATGCCCGTTTCAAATCGTATCCCCGGTCTCGTGTGGAATATCACAAGACACACAACCCAATGCCCGTAACAAATCGTACCCCCTGTCTCTTGTGTGATATCACAAGACGCAGAACCCACTGCCCGTAACAAATCGTACCCCCTGTCTCTTGGAAGATATCACAAGACGCAGAACCCAATGCCCGTAACAACTCGTACCCCCTGTCTCGTGTGTGATATCTTCAAACGCAGAACCCAATGTCCGTAACAAATCGTACCCCCTGTCTCGTGAGAGATATCATAAGATGCATAGCCCAATGCCCGTAACAAATCGTACATCCTGTCTCGTGTGTGATATCATCAAGACGCAGAACCCAATGCCCGTAAGAAGTCGTAGCCCCTGTCTCGTGTGTGTTATCACAGGCCGCACGCAGAACCCAATGCCCGTAACAACTCGTACCCCACTGTCTCGCGTGTGATTTCCCAAGACGCAGGACCCAATGACCGCAACAACTCGTACCTCCTGTCTCGTGTAAGATATCACAAGACGCAGAACCCAATTACCGTAACAAGTCGTACCCCCTGTCTCGTGGAAGCTATCACAAGGCGCAGAACCCAATGCCCGTAACGAGTCGTAGCGCCTGTCTCGTGTTTGATATCACAAGACGCAGAACCCAATGCCCGTAAGAATTCGTACCCTCTTACACTTATGTGATATCACAAGACGCAGAACACAATGCCCGTAACAAATTGTACCCCCTGTCTCTTGTGTGATATCACAAGACGCAGAACCCAATGCCCGTAACAAATCGTTCCCCCTGTCTCGTGTGTGATATCTCAAGACACAGAACCCAAGGCCTGCAACAAATCGTACCTCCTGTCTCGTGTGTGATGTCACAAGACGCAGAACCCAATGCCCGTAACAAATCGTACCCCCTGTTTCGTTCTTCTGCCTGTAACAAATCGTACCCTGTGTCTCGTGTGTAAAATCACAAGATGCAGAACCCAATGCCCGTAACAAACCGTACCCCCTGTCTCGTGTGTGATATCACAAGCCGCAGAACCCAATGCCCGTAACAAATCGTACCTCCTGTTACGTGTGCGATATCACAAGACGCAGAACCCAATGCCCGTATCAACTCGTACCCCCTGTCTCGTGCATGATATCACAAGACGAACAACCCAATGTCCGTAACA